ATTCATTCATTCATTCATTCATTCATTCATTCTTTCACTCATTCATTCATTAACGTGGCCACTTACTTACTTCTTTCTTTGCTGACTTAGTCACTCATGCCTTCACATTTAGAGAAGGATGTTGCCATTTCAACTTGACTCACCCTTTTGTGGGCAGGGGTAAAATTTAGAGAAGGATGTTGCTCTTCCAAGTTGACCCACCCTTTGGTGAGCCACCCGAGGGTAAAATTTAGAGAAGGATGTTGCCATTTCAACTTGACTCACCCTTTTGTGGGCCATACAGGGTTAAAATTTAGAGAAGGATGTTGCCATTTCAACTTGACTCACCCTTTTGTGGGCAAGGCAGGGGTACAATTTAGAGAAGGATGTTGCCATTTCAACTTGACTCACCCTTTGGGGAGCCACCCGAGGGTAAAATTTAGAGAAGGATGTTGCCACTTCAACTTGACTCGCCCTTTTGTGGGCAAGGCAGGGGAAAAATTTAGAGAAGGAAGTGGTCATTCCAAGTTGACTCACCCTTTGGTGAGCCACCCGAGGGTAAAATTTAGTGAAGGGTGTTGCAATTTCAACTTGACTCACCCTTTTGTGGGCAGGGTAAAATTTAAAGAAGGATGTTGCCCTTCCAAGTTGACTCACCCTTTTGTAGGCCACGCAGGGGTAAAATTTAGAGAAGGATGTTGCCATGCCAAGTTGACTCACCCTTTTGTGGGCAAGGCAGGGGTAAAATTTAGAGAAGGATGTTGCCATTTCAACTTGACTCACCCTTTTGTGGGTAGGCAGGGGTAAAATTTAGAGAAGGATGTTGCCATTTCAACTTGACTCACCCTTGGGTGAGCCACCCGAGGGTAACATTTGGACAAGGATGTTGCCATTTCAGCTTGACTCACCCTTTTGTGGGCCAGGCAGGGGTAAAATTTAAGGGCTACGCCCCCGTGCCGCCGACCCCGGGAAGTAGGAGTGGAGAAGGCTTGGACGGGAGCAGGGGTGGTCGTTGTGGTGAAGGGGAGGCAGGGTAGAGAGGGGGAGGGATGTGGAGAGGCGCGAGCGGGAGGAGGAGAAGGGGAGGAGCAGGGGATAGGGCCCAGCGTCTGGTTCGGTCGCTGTGGCGAAGCAGGGGAGGTCGAGGAGGAAAGAATGGGGCGGTGCGGCGTCTGGTTCGGTCGCCGCGTCTAGAAGGGGAGGAGGAAGGGACGGGAGCAGGGTGGTCGTTGTTGTCGAGGGGAGGCAGGGCAGAGAGGGGGAGGGATATGGAGAGGCGAGCGGGGGG